TTTTAAAATATATTCCTACCCTTTACTTGTATATCCCAACTATTTTAACCCACAGCTTACAAGAATCAGTTATAAAGAGTTTGTTCTGGAAACTACACATGAGAAAGTATTATGTGCTGATTCAATCTACGAAGGGCAGAAGTATGCAAAATGTACCACTGAGAGGGAAAGATTATCCATTTGAAAGAGATTTAAAGCAGATCAACAACTCGCAAGGACTGGTGATGAGCGGGGTACGTCCATCTGATGAATCTGCAGTTTTGCTCTAAACAGGCTGTAGTTTGCAAATGCCCGGTGGGGATAAGTACCTGTGCCAAAACATCCTTGAAAACGCCAGAATATGCACCACCTGACTACGGAACAGTGAGCACAGAACACCTGGAGGGCTGCAGAATGAGCACGGCGTCCTTGGTACTGGGCCAGCCCTCTCCACAGTCGCAGGGGCGGGGTAGGGGTGCCCTACTGGAGCGAGGACAGGCACCCCTCCCCGAATACAAACCGCTCAACGGGTGGGGGTAGGGACTAACCACCACCCTCACAACCCCTCACCTCCACGCTCTGTTCATCCATTGCCTCCGGCTCTCTGCGGGGCCGTCGGCAACCCGCGGACTCCGTAGTCTGACCTCTTAGGCGCCGGCCCGAGGTCGCCAGATCAAATCACCGAGAAAAGCGCGGCGCCCACGTCAGGGGGCTCCGACAACCGCCCCACCTGCGCGCCCCATCGCTCCAGGTCCCGCGTCGACTACCCCCATTTCGCCATTTTTACCAGCGCGCCCGCCCCGGGGCGCAGAGATAGGGCGAGCGGCGGCCACAGCTCCTTCCTCCCGGCAGAGCCGCCGGCCAGCAGCCGCGAGGGAATCTCGGCGCACGTGACGCGGCCGCGCGAGTGTTGAACTGCCGCTAGAGTTGGGCGAAGAAGGCGCTGCAGAGAATTAGCAAACACCAACGGTAACCAGGGCAGCTGGGGGTGCGGTGGCGGGGGAAGGCGCGAAGCGCATGCGCCCAGGACGCTGCGGGAGGGGAGGAGCGGGGAGGGTTCGCGTAGTTCCCGCGTTGCGGGACGCACACGAGACTTGGCGATTAGCTGCCGCCGCGTTGCGTGCCTCCGGTCCCAGCCGGCGCCGGCGGCCTGAGCGCGGGTCTCTGCTACGCCACGCCCACCTCGGCGGAGGGCGGGGCTCCACGGCTCTCAAAATTGCGCGCTAAAGACCGAGCTAGGTATTCCGACTCTGAGATTCCAGGGTGGAGCCCGGGCCTTCCGCATTTTCACCCACCACTGTGTGATTCGGTAGCAGGTGGTCCGTGACCCCTACTTTTGAGAAACCCTGGTGCAGAGGGTCCGTAGTTAGTGGTTCTCTCGAATAAAGAGTCTAAGGTTTGTAGGATTTGCGTTCCACCTACCAAGGCAAATGAAATTAGAAAGGTCCAGACTGTGAAGCCTGGAGAGGTGTCATTTCTCATTTCAGTGGCGAGAGGACGGGACCACACACTGTGAAGGCTTCATTCCCACACCCCACCCCTTATTCTTGCCGCCTTAGTTGTCGCCATGGGACTACTGAAAGGGCAAGGGTGTCAGCGATATTCATTTTCCCATAAATAGGATCTGTTTTCTACAATTTCCTGCCAGAAGAAATGTGTAAAGTTTGCAAGAATTGAAATGATGCCTGAGTCAAAGAGGGCACATCGATTTCATAATTTGAATTTAATTTTTCCTGTATTTATTGCAAACAATTATACATAACCAACCTAGAGTGCTCATGTAGAGAATCACCAATAATTTAGAAATAAGTTCTTGAATATCAGGCGTTTAGGCTTATAGGTGGTGGGCAACAACAATTTTCTTTTTAACTACTTGAGTCATGAACAAGATTAAAATTTAAGAGAGATTAATCTGAGGGCCGGGCACTGTGACTCACGCCTGTGATCCCAGCACTTTGAGAGGCCGAGGCGGGCAGATCGCCAAAGGTCGGGAGTTGGAGACCAGCCTGACCAACATGGAGAAGCAAAATACAAAATTAGCCGGGCGTGGTGGCACATGCCTGTAATCCCAGCTACTCTGGAGGCCGAGGCAGGAGAATTGCTTGAACTCAGGAGGTGGATGTTGCGGTGAGCCAGTGCGGCACCATTGCACTCCAGCATGGGCAACAAGAGCGAAACTCCATCTCAAAGAAAATTACTGTGAGACTGAAAAATGCTTTCAGTTAAGAATTTTTTGTGGTCTTTTAAGTACATAGAGGTGATGGTTGCATAACGCTATTTTTACTAAAATGCCTTCAGTTGTGCATTGTATTCACTTATTTTGAGACGCAGTCTCGCTTTGTCAGGTGGAGTGCAGTGGTGCCATCTCGGCTCACTGCAACCCCGCCTCCCGGGTTCAAGCGATTCTCCTGCCTCAGCCTCCTGAGTAGCTGGGACTACAGGTGCGTACCACCACGCCCAGCTAATTTTTGCATTTTTAGTAGAGACAGTTGTTTGCCATGTTGGCCAGGATGGTCTTGATCTCTTGACCTTGCGAACCGCCCACCTCAGCCTCTCAGAGTGCTGGGATTACAGGCGTGTGCCACCGCGCCAGCCAGTTGTACGTTTTAAAATGGTTGATGGTTAATTTTGTTATGAGAATTTTACTTAAAAGAATTATTTATAGTAATGAGAAGTGGGCCTTGCTCTCAAAGAGCAGTATAGAAGACAAGACAAATTGCAATACCTATATGCTAAACAGTAAAATAGATTATTGTGTTTACAGAAGAACCCAAAAATGTTGAAGGACTTACTGCACTAGTTCATAATAGTGAACAATTAGAAACCTGTACAACTGATTAAAGGCCGTTGGTTGCAAGCAAAAAGGATAACCTGAGCAAAATAAATAATTTAGTTGGGAAAATGCTAAACTCACATTGTTTGCCAAGCCCTGGGGTTTGGGAGCCAATCATCTGCTCCATCAGAATCCCTTAAAGGCTGACCTTGCTGCCCTCCCCACAAGAAAAATCTTCTAACTTGACATATCCTTAAACAACTTCCCATTATACAACTTACTTGTTATATTATTTGTGTAACTTGCTGTTATAGAGCTTAAATGTCGTATCAATAAGGAACTGATAAAAATGATGATATATGAGCTGGGTGCAGTAGCTCACACCTGTAATCCCAGCACTTTGGGAGGCCGAGACAGGCGGATCATCTGAGTTTGAGAGTTCAAGGCCAGTCTGATTAACATAGAGAAACCCTATCTCTACTAAAAATACAAAAAATTAGCCAGGGGTGGTGGTGTTTGCCTGTAATCCCAGCTACTTGGAGGCTGAGGCAGGAGAATCACTTGAACTTGGGAGATGGAGGTTATGGTAGCCAAGATCATGCCATTGCATGCACTCCAGCCTCAGCAACAGAGCCAGATCCTGTCTAAAAAAAAAAAAAAGTAAGGTATATCCCTATAATGGATTACATGTGTTAAAAATAAGGGTAGATGTGTGACATAACAAAAATATATTAGAATTGAAGAGTGGGCACAGTGATTCATGTATCCCAGCACTATGGGAAGCTGAGGCTGGCAGATCTCTTGATTCCAGGAGTTGGAGGCCAACCTGGACAACATGATGAAACCCAGTCTCTACAAAAGATACAAAAATTAGCTAGGGTTGGTAGCATGCACCTGTAGTCCCAGCAGCTACTTGGGAGGCCAAGGCCAGAGGATTGCTTGAGCCCTGGAGGCTGTAGTGAGCCACGATAGGACCACTGCACTCTAGCCTAGGTGACAGAGCGAGAACCTGTCTCAAATAAAACAATGAAATGAAAAAAAAAATCTAAGTACAGCACCAGTATAAGGTACATTATCAACTACTTTTGTTGAAAAAAAATTGTTTAAATACATGTAGAAATACCTGAAGAAATTGCTTGCAGATTACCTCGAGAATTAATATGTCTGTGTTTTTTAAATTCTTTTTTTTTTTTTGAGACGGAGTTTCACTCATGTTACCCAGGCTGGAGTGCAATGGCGCGATCTCGGCTTACCGCAACCTCCGCCTCCTGGGTTCAGGCAATTCTCCTGCCTCAACCTCCCGAGCAGCTGGGATTACAGGCACATGCCACCATGCCCAGCTAATGTTTTGTATTTTTAGTAGAGATGGGGTTTCACCATGTTGACCAGGATGGTCTCGATCTCTTGACCTCATGATCCACCCGCCTCGGCCTCCCAAAGTGCTGGCATTACAGGCTCGAGCCACCGCGCCCAGCGTGTTTTTTAAATTCTTAAACATGTATTATCTATAACTTAAGACATAAAAACACTATAGTCACATAGGAGAAAACAATTATAATCCAGATAAGAAACAAAAGTTCTGGGTAATCCCAGCTTTTAGGGAGGCAGAGGTGGGAGGATAGCTTGAGCCCAGGAGTTCGAGACCTGCCTTAGGCAATATAGCAAGACCTCATTCTCCACAAAAAGGAAAAAACAAACAAACAACAAAAAGACAAAAAAAAAAAAGAAACAAACAAAAAAAAGAAAAGATCTGGCCGGGTGTGGTGGCTCACGCCTGTAATCCAAGCACTTTGGAAGCCAAGGCGGGCACATCACCTGAGGTCGGGAGTTCAAGAGCAGCCTGACCAACATGGTGAAACCTCATCTTAAAAAAAAACAAAATGGGCCGGGCGCGGTGGCTCAAGCCTGTAATCCCAGCACTTTGGGAGGCCGAGGCGGGTGGATCACGAGGTCAAGAGATCGAGACCAGCCTGGTCAACATGGTGAAACCCCGTCTCTACTAAAAATACAAAAAAATTAGCTGGGCATGGTGGTGCGTGCCTGTAATCCCAGCTACTCAGGAGGCTGAGGCAGGAGAATTGCCTGAACCCAGGAGGCGGAGGTTGCGGTGAGCCGAGATCGTGCCATTGCACTCCAGCCTGGGTAACAAGAGCGAAACTCCGTCTCAAAAAAAATAAATAAATAAATAAATAAATAAATAAATAAAAGAAACAAAAGATCTAAATTAAGGAGGCATGAGGACGGGGCAGAGGTTGTATACTATGATCATTTCAGAGACAGAATTGTAGGTTTTATTAACTAAGAAGATAAAGGGACGCAAATTAGTTATACAAGTTTTAATTCCAAACAACAGAATATCCAGGCTATTAATAATAAAATCATACTCAGGATTCATCTGGAAAAGAAATAACAAAAATAAATAAAATAAAATCAGTAAGTATTCTGGGCATGTTCAGTTTCAATATTCAGGTAGGAGATTTTATTGGAAATATGGATCTAGAGCTAATGGAAGAAGTTAAATTTAGGAGTCATTCACAAAGAGGCTTGAGAAACATGAAAATGTATTGAGAAGTACTTAGAAAACAATGTTAAGGGGGCTATGCATAGAGAATAACATTTGGAAGATAACTGAAGGAAATCACAGAAGCAAAATAGTACAATCTAATTTTTCTCCCTAACTGAAAGCAAAACCACTTTTAATACTATTGTAATAAGTATTATGACCTCTTCATGATACAATTTTTTCAATCCCAACAATTATCATCACAACCCAAAGCCATCTCATGACAACAGCTTTCTAAACACTAATTGCCGGAACACCGAAGAAAATTAATATGTTACTAAGGTGTAACTTATTTCTCTGTAATTAAAAAAAGGGAGGCTTTCTGTTCTTGAAATATTCAAACTAGAAAGGACAATTTTAACTGAAGCTGTTCTCACAACCCTGTTTTTCAGCTACTGTAAGTTTGTTAATGGACAAACATGGTCATAACTGAAATTGTTAAATTATGTAAAAGTATAATTCTGTAACCTGCAGAACATCTGATGCATTTTTCCTAGTCTTTTCAATGCTTAGTTCTTATTATATGTAAGTAAAATCATTTATCGAAGGCTTACTAAATACCGAACCCTGTATTAAAACACTTTATTATCTTGTCCTTCCAAACATCCTGACACTCAGAAGTTAAGTGATCTGCACAGAGTCATAGCTAGAATTTAAAACCTGCTACTTACATCTCAGGTATGACTCCAAAGCCCAATCTTCACTATAAAACTGCAATATCTGCCTCCCCTCTTCCCCACTTTGCATAGTTTCAGCATCTCCCAGAACATTAACAGTAATAATTTATTGGCAACTTGACCTCTTATTGTATACATACAACATGATTTATTTTCCTATTTACCTAGTACTAGCCAAATGTGCATGTATATTGCCATTATGAACAAACCTGTGATTAACATCTTTGTATCAAGATCTGCCTCTACTTTGAACAGTTTCCTCATTGCCAATAGTTATTATTATTTTTTTTTTTTTTGAGACGGAGTTTCACTCTTGTTACCCAGGCTGGAGTGCAATGGCGCGATCTCGGCTCACCGCAACCTCCGCCTCCTGGGTTCAGGCAATTCTCCTGCCTCAGCCTCCTGAGTAGCTGGGATTACAGGCACGTGCCACCATGCCCAGCTGATTTTTTGTATTTTTAGTAGAGACGGGGTTTCACCATGTTGACCAGGATGGTCTCGATCTCTTGACCTCGTGATCCACCCGCCTCGGCCTCCCAAAGTGCTGGGATTACAGGCGTGAGCCACCGCACCCGGCGCCAATAGTTATTTTTAAATAAACAGGTAAATTGACACATACACATAACACACCCAAAACTGGCAAGTAGCAGACAAGTGCTCTTCTAATTTCAGTTTCTTAGCTTTCATGTAGAATGAACAATTACAATAATAAAGGCTGAAAGAAAACAAAGGTATTATTGAAATACAACAGGGACAATCTAAAGCAACATGAAAAAGCAAGTTCATGCTGCTCAACATTAGCAGGCAAGGGAAATAGGGGAAAAAACTACACAAAAGTGGCTATCACAGAAAAGCCAGCTTATTACTTTAGGTTTTGTGGGAGACTACAGGTCACATAAAAGCAGTCTCAACAATAATGTGACCACATATGCAATCAACATTTACAAAATGAAATTAGATATAATGTATAATACAAATATTTTTGCCTATAATTTCCGAAGCATGGAATTCACATAGAGAATGACTGAAATGTACATAAACATTCTTTTATGATAGACTAGAACATCTACATTATCATGACTTAGAAAAAGAAAACAGATGCAAAATAGTGTTGAGACTTTCTTGCCTGAAATTACAAGACTAAGTGTGTGTATGTGTGTGTGTGCACGCTCGTGTGCACATATATTTAAATCCTTTTATTCTCATTTGATCCTTTTGGCTGAACTTTATTCATATATCATCTGCAATTCTTCTTTTAGCCACTCTCATGAAAGGCATCATTATTCAGTCATTGAAGCCAAGACTCCTTCACCAGCCCCCAACCTCTAGACATCAAGTGTTAACAAGATATCTTCCTAAATTTATCTGGAATTGAGCTCTTCTCTGTTAGAGTTTCCTTTCCAAGTCTATTTCTTCATAAATCTGGCATGTGAGATTTTAATTGGTCTGCCACAGTTTTCTCTTCATCAGTCAATGGTGACAGCTAGAAAATAAACAATAACATCTTTATTTCGAAAATCTTCAAAGACTGTTAAATCAGTTCACTTAACTTCTGCATTGTCACACTAATAAATGTTTCCATAAGCTTATACTTTGTATGTAATCACAGATTTAGAAAGACAAGGGAAAAAACAGTATTTGGCTATTTATATACAGGTCCTATGATATTTGAGCTTCCAAAGAACTTGCAATTAAGTTGAAGAAACAAGACCAAGAAATCAAACAATTTAAGGATTATAGCAGAACCAAAGAAGTCATGTTTGGATGCCATATTCTAAAAGTACGGTTGGCTGGGTGCGGTGGCTCACACCTGTAATCCCAGCACTTTGGGAGGCCAAGGCAGGTGGATCACGAGGTCAAGAGATGGAGACCATCCTGGCCAACATGGTGAAACCCATAAAAATGCAAAATTAGCTGGGCGTGGTGACTCCAAAATTAGCTGTCATCCCAGCTATTAGGGAGGCTGAGGAGGAAAATCACTTGAACCTGGGAGGTGGAGGCTGCAGTGAGCCGTGATCATAACACTGCACTCAAGCCTGGTGACAGAGCAAGACTCCATGTCAAAAAAAAAAAAAAAAAGAACGAAAGAAAAAAGAGGCTGGGCACGGTGGCTCACACCTGTAATCCTAACACTTTGGGAGGCCAAGGTAGGTGTATCACCTGAGGTCAGGAGTTCAAGACCACTCTTGCCAAGATGGTAAAACCCCATCTGTACTAAAAATACAAAAATTAGCCGAGCATGGTAGTGGGTGCCTGTAATCCCAGCTTCTTGGGAGGCTGAGGCAGGAGAATCGCTTTAACCCAGGAGGTGGAGGCTGTAATGAGCCGAGATCGCGCCACTGCACTCCAGCATGGGCGACAGAGCAAGACTCCATCTCAAAAAATTAAGAAAGAAGCTAGGTGCAGTGGCCCACACCTGTAATCTCAGCACTTTGGGAGGCCAAGGCGGGTGGATCACCTGAGGTCAGGAGTTTGACCAGCCTGACCAACATGGTGAAACTTCGTCTCTATTAAAAACACAAAAAATTAGCTAGGCATGGTGGCAGGTTCCTGTAATCCTACTCGGGAGGCTGAGGCAAGAGAATTGCTTGAACTTGGGAGGTGGAGGTTGCAGTGAGCCGAGATTACACCATTGTGCTCTAGCCTGGGTGACAAGAGCAAAACTCTGTCTCAAAAAAAAAAAAAAGAAAGAAGGCTGGGTGCGGTGGCTCACACTGTAATCCCAGCACTTTGGGAGGTCAAGTCAGGCGGATCACCTGAGGTCCAGCCTGACCAACATGGAGAAACCTGTTTCTACTAAAAATGTAAAATTAGCCAGGCGTGGTAGCACATGCCTATAATCCCAGCTACTCGGGAAGCTGAGGCAGGAGAATCACTTGAACCTGGAGGCAGGGGTTGCAGTGAGCCAAGATCATGCCATTGCACTCCAGCCTGGTCAACAAGAGTGAAACTGTGTCTCAAAAAAAAAGAAAAAAAAAACATCGTTGCACAATAACTTCAGAAAAAGGAAAGACTTCAGGAACGGCTTATTCAGCAGCTTAACAATGTAAGGATTCAGTTTTTTGCATCTCACAGCTCTAATATCCTGGATGCCTTTATCCTCAAGCTGACAGCAAATGGCTTTAACAGTGCTAGGTCACACAACTCTACACAATGTCCAGAAGAAGAAAAAAAACTTTCTCTTCTCAGTGTTCTCTCAGCAGTGAGGAGTCTTCCTAGTTATCTACTTCCAGACTTTCCTTCCTCACATGTAATTTGGGTTACAAACCCATTCCTGAACCACTGTTAGTTAAAACAGAAAGTCTATTCCCCATGCCAATCAGATGCACTCCAGGAGCTAAGGATGGGGCCAGCTTCATCTCAGGCATGACACATATATTAAGAAAGTCAGTATAGTCATGTCTCACTTAATGACAGGAATATGCTCTGAGAAATGCATTGTTAGGCAATTTCATCCTGTGAACATCACAGAGGGTACTTACACAATCAGAGATGGTATATGTATATATACACCTAGGCTATATGGTTTAGCCTACTGCTCCTGGACTACAAATCTCAACAGCATGTTACTGTACTAAATTCTGGAGGCAATGGTAACACAATAGTATTTTTTTTTTTTTTTTGAGACAGAGTCTCACTCTGTCACCAGGCGCCAGGCTGGAGTGCAGGGGCGCGATCTCGGCTCGCTGCAATCTCTGCCTCCTGGGTTCAAGCAATTCTCCTGCCTCAGCCTCCCGAGTAGCTGGGACTACAGGCGCACGCCACCACGCCCATCCTGACCAACAAGGCGAAACCCCGTCTCTACTAAAAGAAAAAAAAAAGAAATAGTATTTTTATATCTAAACATCTGAACAGAGTACAGTAAAAAATACAGTATTATAATCTGGGACTACTGTCATATATGTGATCTACTGTTGACCAAAACGTCATTATGCATTCCATGTCTATACTCTGGTAGGCAGGAAAGAACAGATGCTGAGAAAGAAAAACAGCCAATAGCATCCACCAAAAGCTAAAGCAGGGAGGCTAAAGGGAAGTTGTAAGAGACTTTCACAGAGCACCAACAAACAGGCTGGCTGAAACAAAGTGTTATATGAGGAATTAATAGGAGGTACAACCTGAAGAATCAAGTAGTTACAAATCTGCCAACTATATAGGTCATCTCTAGAGAGACTGCCAAATCTAGAACACCCTAGACCTACAGAATCAGAGTCTCTAGGGCAGCACTGTCCAATAAAACTTTCCATGATGCTGGAAATATTCTATATCGGCACTGTCCAATGAGTAGGTGAGGAAATTAATGTTCACTTTTATTTAACTACCTGAAATTTAAATTTCCTTTTTTTCTGAGACGGAGTTTCGCTCTTGTGCCCAGCTGGAGTACAATGGTGTGATCTTGGCTCACTGCAACCTCCGCCTCCTGAGTTCAAGAGATTCTCCTCCCTCAACCTCCTGAGTAGCTGGGCCTACAGGCACCCACCACCACAACCAGCTAATTCTTTGTATTTTTTAGTAGAGATGGGGGTTTCACCATGTTGGCCATAGTGGTCTCAAACTACTGACCTCAGGTGATCCATCCACCTCAGCCTCCCAAAATACAGGCATGAGCCACTGTACCCAGCCTAAATTTAAATTTATATAGCCACATTAGTTTATGTAAATAGGAAAGCCAAGCTCTAGAAGAGCCACAAAACCTATATAATTCTGATATGCAGTTGGTTCCACTGATCAAACCGACATTTGCCCAACATATTCACAAGGACAAAATGAAAAACAATCATGTCTTACTACAACCCAGACAGTCACAGGATTTCCTTCTTCTATCTCAAGAAAAGGAAATGTTATTCTGACAAGACTTGGTTTTTTCATTTTCTTTTTGTTTTAGAGACAGGGTCTCATTCTGTCACCTAGGCTGGAGTACAGTGGTGTGGTCATAGCTCACTGCAGCTTCTAACTCCTGGGCTCAAGCAATCATCCCACCTCAGCCTCCCAAGTGGCTGCAACTACAGTTGCACACCACCACACCCAGCTGTAAGACTTGTTTGTTCTCAACGAATCCATGTTGCTCCTTGTTATCGCTACAAAAGCATTCAGACCATCTGTTTAATAAATTCTCAAAGACTTTTTCCAGAAATTAAGATCAAGTTAACCAGTCTAAAGTTTGTAGAAATTTTTCTTCTTTATCACACATATTTTGGAAGATCATGGAACATCACATATTCTACTTTTAATGCCTTTTTAATCTTCTATTTATTGTTAAATTTGTTTTGGGGGTTTGTTTGTTTTGCTATTTTTTGTTTCGGTGTAAGTTTAGTCCCTTTATTCTTTTGATGAGATCACTTTTATAATTGAGCATATTTAAACCTCAGTGTCGGCCAGGCACGGTGGTGCATGCCTGTAATCCCGGCACTTTGAGAGGCCAGGACAGGTGGATCACTTGAGGTCAGGCGTTCTAGACCAACATAGTGAAACCCCATCTCTACAAAGAATACAAAAAAAATTAGCTGTGCATAGCGGCACGTGCCTGTAGTCCCAGCTACTCAGGAAGCTGAGGCCAAAGAATTGCTTGAACCGGGGAGGTAGAGGTACATATAATAAAGAATGTGTGATTTTAGACTATTTATAAAAGCTTATCATATACATAATTTTTTTGCATTTAATTTACTAGCATGTGACACCACCCTTACTGTTTTAAATTCTATCTCTACGTTACCTCTATTCCCTGTTTAATTGCCCTTCCTTCCTCTACCATTCATCTCCTTGTGATATAACAGATATATCTAAGGTATCATTTTATAGTTCTAACCAGATATTATTCTATTTTTTCCCCTCCATTTGCAATATAAAGAATTCTTGATCAAACTGACCTGGGTAATTACCTTTCTGATTTACTGTAGCTACAAACCCATAATTCAAAGTATCTTAAGGCAAAATTTAGTGCAGAGTTGGTAAATAAATTCTACATATGCAGCTGCTCCTCCTTCCCATGCTTATGGCAGATAGTACTATTTTCTGCCATGCCCAGACACAGCTCCTTAATACAGATTCTAAGCAACCAGTTTCCAGACATCTCAGTCTCACTACCACTTACAGGAACCAGCTAAGCTGCTAGATTTAATAAGTATTACCAAGTTTTCTGCCATGGTTACATAATACAAGACGGCACACTTCTTTATTAACCATGTCAAGTCCAAATGCTTATTTCAAAATAAATGGAAATAAGAGCTATTATACTTCAGGGTATCAAAAAAATCTTTTAATAGTTCAAACTGACTGCCGAATTTCAAAATTTAAGTTATGGCAGATTTATTTTTCAAAACAACACTCAGAGCTAAAAGTATACAAATCTAACCTGTCAATTGAAAGCATTACCTCCAGGTCTGTTTGCTTTTGCAGGTTTTGTATCACATTCATAGTCTTATTCACGGTTGCACAAATGCGGCTCTTAGTCTCTTTCTGCTCAGCAGCAACTGGTTTAAAGCGTGCATATAAAGTTTGATATCGAGACTTTATCGCTGACAATTCCTTTAAGAGTGTAACTGGATTTTTCTGTCAGGAAAAAAGTTAGCATGTATTAAATTATGGAAATGAAAGATTAAGCTTCCTTTTAGGAATTAAAATAATGTACCTACAATACATTCTACCATCCATTTAATTGAACACTGTTGAGTAGTTAATTATGCAGCCACGTGACATCAGAAGGGAGGTGGAGAAGAGAGAAAAGTATAAGACCTAGATCCTATTCTCAAGGAATTTATAGCCTAGGTACAGAAATAACCCACCAAAAAAATCAGCAATATTAAACAGAAAATAAGGTTACCTTAGATATATAACATTTGATGCACAGTCCACAATAATTAATTATACAATATTTCTAAAATATAATTCTAAATGCTATTCAGAAGAAGATAAAAGGCACTATTTGGACTTCTTCTTAAAGAATAATACAACTTGAAACTACTTATAAAATACTTTTTTTTTTTTTGAGACTGAATTTTGCTCTTGTTGCCCAGGCTGGAGTTCAATGGCGCGATCTCAGCTCACCGAAACCTCCGCCTCCCGAGTTCAAGGGATTCTCCTGCCTCCGCCTCCTGAGTAGCTGGGATTACAGGTGCCCACCATCACACCCGGTTAATTTTGTATTTTCAGTAGAAGCGGTTTCTCCATGTTGGTCAGGCTGGTCTTGAACTCCTGACTTCAGGTGATCCACCTGCCTCAGCCTCCCATCAAGTGCTGGGATTACAGGCGTGAGCTATCATGCTACCAAGCGCCCAGCTCTTTTTTGTTGAGACTCAGGCTGGAGTGCAATGATGTGATCTTGCCTCACTGTGACCTTTGCCTCCTTGGTTCAAGCAATTCTCCTGTCTCAGCCTCCTATAATCTCAGAGTAGCTGGGATTATAGGCACATGCCACCATGCCCAGCTAATTTTTGTATTTTTAGCAGAGATGGTGTCTCCACACGTTGGCCATGCTGGTCTTAAACTCCTGACCTCAGATGATCCGCCTGCCTCAGCTCCCCAAAGTGTTAAGATTACAGCCATGAGCCACCAGGCCTGGCCCACAATTTCTTTTTTTTAAACTGAGAATGTAAAATACTTTAGATGCCTTAGAAAACAATTTGGCATTGATTCTGACTGTGACAAAAAAAATTAAAAGTAGAAAAAAATAGAAACAGTTTGGCAGTTCCTCAAAATATTAAACGTGAGTTACCATATGGCCAGCAATTCTTCTCCAAGGTATATACCCAAGAGAAAGGAAAACACGTGTCTACACAAAAACTTGTAAATGTATGTACATAGCAGCATTATTCATAGCAACCAAAAGATGAAAACAACACAAATAACCATCAACTGATGACTGGATAAGAAAATGGAGTACAGGTTTGTAATCCTAGCACTTTGGGAGGAGGCCCGAGGCAGGCGGATTACAAGGTCAGGAGTTCGAGATCAGCCTGTCCAATATGGTGAAACCCTGTTTCTACTAAAAAACACAAAAATTAGCCAGGCATGGTGGCGCACGCCTGTAGTTCCCAGCTACTCGAGTGGTGGAGGCAGGAGAATCACTTGAACCCGGGAGGCAGAGGTTGCAGTGAGCCAAGGTCGTGCCACTGCATTCCAGCTTGGGTGACAGAGTGAGACTCTGCCTTAAAAAAAAAAAAAGAAAGAAAGAAAGAGGCCAGGCACAGTGGCTCACGCCTATAATCCCAGCACTTTGGCAGACTGAGGCGGCTGGATCACCTTAGGTCAGGAGTTCGAGACTAGCCTGGGCAACACGGTGAAACCCCGTCTCTATTAGAATACAAAAAACCAGCTGAGTGTAGTGATAGATGCCTGTAATCCCAGGTACTTGGGAGGCTAAGGCAGGAGAATCGCTTGAACCCAGGAGGCGGAGGTTGCAGTGAGCCAAGATTGTGTCACTGCACTCCAGCCTGGGCGACAGAGTGAGACTCTGTTTCCAAAAAAAAAAGTTAAGAAACATCCTAAGTGAAAGAAGTTAGACATGAAAGGTCACGTATTATATGATTCTATTTATTTGAAGTGTTCAGACAACCAACCTATGGAGACAGAAAGTAAATTCATCTTTGGGAGCGGGTGGGACAGCAGGGAAAGGTGATAGGGAGTAACTATTTATGGGTATGAGGTTTCTTTCTGAAGTGATGAAAATGTTATTGTGGCAATGGCTACAAAACTGTGAATACTAAAAGCCACTTAATTGTATACTTTAAAGGAGTGAATTTATTGGTATATAAATTATAGCTCAATAAAGCTGTTTTTTTTAAAAAAGTTGTAGGGAAAATAAAAACCCACAGGTGAAACAAAGATGAGAGATGGAAAGAAGAGGAAAAGTGGGAATACCACACTTCAATGTCTTTCAAAATAGTACTTGAAAGATACTGACTAAGCCAGACGTGGTGGCTCACACCTGTAATCCCAGCACTTTGGGAGGCCAAGAAAGTGCTGAGTCCAGGAGTTCAAGACCAGCCTAGGCAACATGGTAAAACCTTGTCTCTACTAAAAATACAAAAAATAGCTGGGTCTGGTGGTGTATGCCTATAGTTCCAGGAACTTGGAGGACTGAAGTGGGAGGATTGCTTGAGCCCAGGAAGTCAAGGCTGAAGTGAACTGAGATCTTGTCACTGCACTAGAGCCTGGGTGACAGAGTGAGACCCTGTCTTAAAAAAAAAAAAGGCTGGGCATGGTGGCTCACACCTGTAATCCCAGCACTTTGGGAGGCTGAGGCAGGCAGATCACGAGGTCAAGAGATCAAGACCATCCTGGCCAACATGGTGAAACCCTATCTCTACTAAAAAAAAAAAAAAAAAAATACGAAAATTAGCTGGGCCTGGTGGTGTGTGCCTGTAGTCCCCCCAGCTCCTCGGGAGGCTGAGGCAAGAGAATCACTTGAACCTGGGAGGCGGAGGTTGCAGTGAGCCAAGATGGCGCCGCTGCACTCCAGCCTGGTGACAGAGCAAGACTCTGTCTCAAAAAAAAAAAAAAAAAAAAAAAAAAAACTGACTCACACCAGTCTTTAAACTGAAAAGAACAGATACTACACTTGATCTTAGCCAAAAGGCCAAGAAACAATATCACACCAGTCTTTAAGTTGAAAGAAAGGAAGGAAGGAAGGAAGGGAGGCAGGGGGAGGAAAGGGAAGGAACGAAGGAAATGGAAAGGAAGGAAGGAAAGAAAGGAAGAAAAGGAAGGAAGGGGGGCTGGGCAAGGTAGCTCACACCTGTAGGAGGCTGAGGCGTGTGGCTCACTTGAGGTCAGGAGTTAGAGACCAGCATGACCAAGAAGGTGAAACCCCATCTCTACTAAAAAATACAGAAATTAGCCGGGCATGGTGGCATGCACCCGTAATCCCAGCTACTTGGAAGGCTGAGGCAGGAGAATCACCTGAACCCAGGAGGGAGAGGTTGCAGTGAGCTGAGATCACACCACTGCACTCCAGCCTGGGCAACAGAGTAAGACTCTGTCTCAAAAAAAAGAGAAAAAATAATAGGGAGTAGAATTCTAGCATTCTATGAAATAAACAGTAGAAACTGAACATTCATGAAATTTTCCCAATTTTTTATAAAATGTTAGGTTAACTTGTACTTATACCCAATCCAAAAAAATTTTTTAATTGTATGGATTTTTTTTTTAGCTGTAAAATACAGTATTTCTTGTTTGCTGGCAAGTGCTATCAAAGATAAATACTGATCAGGCGTGGTGGCTCATGCCTATAATCCCAGTACTTTGGGAGATTGAGATGACAGATCACTTCAGGTCAGGAGTTTGAGATCAGCCTAGACAACATGGTGAAACCCTGTCTCTACTAAAAATAAATAATTTTTAAAAAGGCTGGGCATAGTGGCGAACACCTGTAATCCCAGCTTTCGGAGGCTGAGGCAGGCAGATCACAAAATCAAGTGATTGAGACCGTCCTGGCCAACATGGTGAAATCCCATGTTTACTAAAAATGCAAAAATTAGCTGGGCTTGGTGTTGCATGCCAATAGGCCCAGCAACTCAGGAGGCTGAGGCAGAAGAATTGCTTGAACCTAGGCTTGAACCCAGGAGGCGGAGGTTGTAGTGAGCCAAGATCGTGCCACTGCACTCCAGCCTGGTGAAAGAGCAAGACTCCGTCTCAAAAATAAATAAATAAATAAATTATCTGGGCATCATGGTGCACACCTGCAATCCCAGCTACTCATGAGACTGAGGCAGGAGAATCGCTTGAACCCAAGAAATGGAGGTTTCGGTGAACTGAGATTGCGCCACTGCACTCTAACCTGGGTGACATAGTGATCCATCTCAGAAAAAAAAAAAGATAAACATTAATTAAGCCTGATACCTGAGCTTTGGGGAAAAAATCATTATTGATTTAGTGATTTTAGTGTTAATTAACATTAACAGACAATGCTTGGAGATTGTTTGCTTTCATCCCCATGGACATGTATGTATACTTAATGATTTTGTGGTATAAAGCAGAGTTAATGTTTCTAATCAACTAAACTTAGAATAATACATAGTTTTATGCAGAAATCACCGTTCATAAAATATAAATAAAAAATTTAATAGTATATCATTATCTTCCTCAGAGAATACGCTGACTGCCAGGACTTCTCCCTCAAACTTATTGCAGAACAGTTGCTCTAGAGGTAGCTATATTCTCTCTTGGAATTTCAGAGGCTTCCACAGTGGCTTTTGCCTTTGAACTCAATGATTATTTTTTAAAGGTTAGGGGAAAAAAATAGCCACAAATTTCACATACTATTGGCACTCTCTCTCCATTATGCCATAACCAAACTTCCAATGTAATGACAAGATTTTAAGATTCTATAAACTTAGTACTTAATAATATAATTCTTATGATCTATTACTATTAGAAATGCTATCAGAAAATTCTAAAGTATTCAGTTAAGGCTTCTTTAAAAAAAAAAAAAAATCTTATTTATTTTGGAGATTACCTCACCAGCTGAATCAGGATGATTAGTCTTGATTTCATATTCCAGCCTGTATTGAATGTAATCCAGATCAGACTCAGCTTTCTGGAACTAAAGATTAGCACAAATCATAATTGTGTAAACCAAAAGACTAATAGTAAACATGATACTTTATTCTATTTTTCTCTTTACATTTGTTAGGATTTCAATAATAAGTGATCATACTTACTTGAAAATGTGAAAATAAAAAGTATATAAAACATTCATTATCCGTAATAACTATGCTCTATTAAAAATTTTAAAACTAAGGCTGGGCGTAGTGGCTCACGCCTGTAATCCCAGCACTTTGGGAGGCTGAGGTGGGCAGATCACCTGAGGTCAGAAGTTGGAGACCAGCCTGGTCAACGTGATGAAACCCAATCTCTACTAAAAATACAAAACAATTAGCCCAGCATGATGGCACATGCCTATAGTCCCAGCTACTTGGGAGGCTGAGGCAGGAGAAATGCTTGAACCCCGGATGGGGAGGTTGCAGTGAACCAAGATCGCGCCACTACATTCCAGGCTGGGTGACAGAGTGAGACTCTGTCTCAAAAAAAAAAAAAAAAAAATTTAAAAATTAGTTAACATTTAAAGTCATTTCTCTATGCCTCTCTCTTACATTTTGAGCCAAAGTCAAGATACTGGGTACCCATTGTCAGATATTAATCCAAAAAACTAATAATGACTTTAAGAATTCCCTAGGGTCATTGATACTCTCATCAGTTAGGCAGTGTTTTTCTACATCTGGCAGAAAATATAGTTTCAAGTTAAAACATAGAACAATCTATTTCAGGAATATTCACATTGTTACCTTTATTAGCAATCCCATTGATCAAAGAGTTACAGCTATGCACCACCAAAATTAAGAGGGCTTAAAGAGTCACAAACTTCACAGGAAAAGCTATATATGGTATAGGAGTAACAGTTTGAATAACCCCAATTTACTGAATCTGGGTGACAGCATGGGAACTTGATCTGTAGTAAACCTCCAAGGAAGAAAAAAGGGGAGAGCTGCTACCCTGAGGCCATTATGGATATCGGATGCCTGAATTAAAGCAAAAAGTTACATTTAAAAATATCAGTATTGGACTGGCCCTGTGGCTTATACCTGTAATCCCAGAATTGTGTGAAGCTGAGGTAAGCAGATCACCTGAGGTCAGGAGTTCAGGACCAGACTGGCCAACACAGCGAAACAACTTCTACCAAAAATACAAAAATTAGCCAGGCATGGTGACATGGGCCTGTAATCCCAGCTACTTGGGAGGGTGGGCACAGTGGCATGTGACTGTGGTCCCAGCTATTTGGGTAGCTGAGGCACTAGAATCGGTTGAACCAAGGAGGCAGAAGTTGCAAGGAGCCAAGATCAGCCACTGCACTCCTGCCTAGGTGACAAAGCGAAACTCTATCTCATAAATAAATAAATAAATACCAATATTTGGAATACCATGCCATTACTGAAAATGATGGTATACAAAATAACACTTAAGGGACGGCTTTCATATTTCATTCCATGTATTTCTGTAGTATTTGTAATAAGCAGTTATTTAACCTTTTAAAAGGCCAGTGTTTTTTTTGTGTGTTTTTTTTTTTTGAGACGGAGTTTCGCTCTTGTTACCCAGGCTGGAGTGCAATGGCCCGATCTCGGCTCACCACAACCTCCGCCTCCTGGGTTCAGGCAATTCTCCTGCCTCAACCTCCTGAGTAGCTGGGATTACAGGCATGCGCCACCATGCCCAGCTAATGTTTTGTATTTTTAGTAGAGACGGGGTTTCACCATGTTGACCAGGATGGTCTCGATCTCTTGACCTCGTGATCCACCCGCCTCGGCCTCCCAAAGTGCTGGGATTACAGGCTTGAGCCACCGCGCCCGGCCGAGGCCAGTGTTTTTTAAATGATAATGTGTAGACAGATTTGACATGACACTGTATGACTCATTAAATACAAAAACACCCTTGGGCATGGCCTCTTTTTGTAAAAGAAATGTGTACATATACAAAGTTGAGAAGGACATATGACATGTTAAAAAGAAGTTTTTCTTTTTTATGAGACAGGATATTGCTCTATAGCCCAGGCTGAAGTGTTGTGGCACCATCACAACTCACTCCAGTGTCAAACTCCTGGGCTCACGGGATCTTCCCACCTCTTTCCCAGTGCACCTGGAACTACTGGCACATGCCACGACACCCAGCTAATTTTTTATTTTTTGCAGAGATAGGATCTCATTATGTTGCCCAGGCTAGGTTTAAGCAATCCTCCCGCCTCAGCCTCCCAAAATGCTGGGATTACAGGTGTGAGCCACCATGTCCAGCATAAAGTGGTTTCTTTCTGCAAGTGGTATAATCAATGAATTATTCTTAACTTCTTGAAATTTTGCATCTTTTACAGGATCTTAAAGCATATATTGCCTTGAGTTCATCAAGGATATAACCATGGTTCTTAGAGTTTACTACAGAAAGGAAAACATGATTTCCACAGTCATGGTCTCCTATTCCTAGCCCAAAACACAGGAGACGGTTTGCAGGGAGGTTGCTGTTCCTACTATGAACTTTATCACTGAACTAAAGATTGATTCTCAAAATTCTGAAGCCTTAGTGGAAGGGCAAACACTGTTAAAAGCAGTCCTCATGTCTAATAAGAAATGATGTACAGTTATTTTTAGTATATAAAAGATACTATTAGGACCTTTCAAATGTAAAGTAAGACAAAATGGCGTCAGAAGTTAAAATGCTTCTAAGGTCAGAAGCTATCATCATTGAACAGAATTTCAGAAATAAACTAGTTCCCATCACTAATAATTTTTCTCATCATTGACCTAAAATGGAATGGAAAACTCTGCAATAACCAAAATTCTATCTTTATAGCCAAAACTTGGGGGAGGAGGGTCAGGTACAGATAGAAGAAAGAGAAAGTTTTTGTTTTTAAATATATTTTCCAGGTCACTATCTGATTTCCATCTCTAACATCAGGGAGTTGCTCTAAGCCTGAAAAATTAATGTTAGGTACATAATTACAAAGTGTGTTTAAAATGATTTCCAAAAAGTGGAGGCTTTTCATTTGTCCTATATACCTGTTAGATTAGATGTCGTGATTAAATTAATCAATAATTATACTTCCTTAAAAATATTAATGTGTGTGTGTCTGTGTGTGTACTAAGATATTCTTATTGGCATAATTTATTATATTAGGATATACTTAGGGATTATCTTCTCCTATAAGTAAGAGAAGTACACTAACCCATCAAACATGTGGATGGAGAGAATGAGGAAAGGCCAGGAGCCAGAGCAAATCAAAGTTAACAAAGGCTGTAAGCACTCAAGACCTGATTTCTTGTTTGTCTTAATTACCGAACAGACCACAATTCCATAGCTTTATTCAATGAGTTACATAACATTCTTTTTTTTTTTTTTGAGACAGAGTTTCACTCTTGTAACCCAGGCTGGAGTGCAATGGCGCGATCTCGGCTCACCGCAACCTCCGCCTCCTGGGTTCAGGCAATTCTCCTGCCTCAGCCTCCTGAGTAGCTGGGATTACAGGCACGTGCCACCATGCCCAACTAATTTTTTGTAGTTTTAGTAGAGACGGGGTTTCACCATGTTGACCAGGCTGGTCTCGATCTCTTGACCTCGTGATCCACCCGCCTCGGCCTCCCAAAGTGCTGGGATTACAGGCTTGAGCCACCGCGCCCAGCCTACATAACATTCTTAAGCACAACTTTAAATAAGAGTCTTTCAAGCTTGTTTTATTCATTTAATTCACCATAAATTATGGAATTTGTGGCTCCAGAAATTCCTCAGACAGACTCTTTATTCTAGGAGCCCTTAACATGTTTATGAAACAATTTCTTTACATATTTAAAAACTTGATATTTCAGTTCTGTTTGAAGTTTAGCATAGTCTCATGTAGTTCCTTGAACAGTAACTTCTTTTTTTTTTGAGACAGAGTCTTGTTCTGTCACCCAGGCTGAAGTGCAGTGGTGGCATCTCAACTCACTGCAACATCTGCCTCCCAGGTTTAAGCAATTCTCCTGCCTCAGCCTCCTGAGAGCTGGGACTACAGGCATAAATTGTCCTAAATTTGGCAAGTGAGAGGTCCAAGGTTTGAAAGATCTTTATAATAATCTAATGTATATATCACAAAACATGATGAGTTTGGGGGACATAAAACTCTAAACTGTAGACTAAATGATTATATATACATTATATATTTTATTTCATTTTCTTTTTTCTTTTCTTTTTTGAGATAGAATCTCGCTCTGTCACACAGGCTGGAGTGCAATGGCAGCATCTCGGCTTACTGCAGCCTCCACCTCCCAGGCTCAAGCGATCCTCCCAGTCCCACCTCAGCCTCCCAAGTAGCTGGGACTATAGGTACATGCCACCACGCCCAGCTTAATTTTTGTATTTTTAGTAGACAGGCTTTCACCATGTTGGCCAGGCTGGTCTCGAACTCTTGACTTCGTGTGATCCGCCTGCCTTGGCCTCCGAAAGTGCTGGGATTACAGGTGTGAGTTACCGGCCTGGCCTCTTTTCAAGAGAGTGGTTTTAGCTATAGTTTCCTATAATACCTGGGGGCCAAAAATGTGTTAATTATCAAATGGTACCAAAAAGAAATGGTTTCTACTTTTAAATAACCTATATTTTAAGATAATACCAAAGAGTAGCCTTCTAATCAATGGTATGATGAAGTCAACTAAACTGTCAATTTTTTTTTTTTTTAAGAGGGAGTCTCACTCTGTCCTCTATCATCCAGGCTGTAGATGCAGTGGCTCGAACTCGGCTCACTGCAACCTCCACCTCCTGGGTTCAAGCAATTATCCTGCCTCAGCCTCCCGAGTAGCTGAGATTGCAGGCGCCCACCACTACACCAAGCTAATTTTTGTATTTTAGCAAAGATGGGGTTCACCGTGTTGCCCAGGCTGGTCTCAAACTCGTGACCTCAAGTGATCTGCCATCCTTGGCCTCCCAAAGTTCTGGGATTACAGGCCGTGGTCCACCAGCCCCAGCCTAAACTGTCAAGATTTTTTGCAAGACAATTATTAAAAACAGCCATCATTACAAATTAAATTATATAAATTAGCTGGGAATGGTGGCTGAAAAAAATATTTTCTATCAGGCCCAGCCTGAAAACATATTTTTAAAAAAGACAAGAAAAACAGCTTGTGCTAGGTTTGATGTGTACCTGTAGTACCAGTTACTTAAAAAGCTGAGGCAGGAGGATTGTGGAGCACTGGAGTTCAAGGCTGCAGTGTGTTATAATCTCTCCTGTGAATCGTCACTGCACTACAGCCTGGGCAATATAGTGAGACCCCATCTCAAAAACAAAGGTAGGAAGGAAGAAAAGAAAAACAGCTTGTAGGAAGAATGTTATCCTCTGTGGAAAATTGTATAAGAACATCTTATAATAATACAAAAGGGCAGTGCTGGCTTTTTTTCTTCCTTTTTTTTTTTTTTTGATATGGAGTTTCACTTGTCACCCAGGCTGGAGTGCAGTGACTGGATCTTGGCTCACTGCAACCTCTGCTTCCCGAGTTCAGGCAATTCTGCCTCAGCCTCCCTAGTAGTTGGGACTACAGGTGACTGCCACCACGCCCAGCTCATTTTTGTACTTTTAGTAGAGGTGGGGTTTTGCCATGTTGGGCAGGGTGGTCTCAAACTCCTGACCTTAGGTGATCCACCTCCCTCAGCCTCCCAAAATGCTGGGATTAAAGGCGTGAGCCACCATGCCTGGCCAGTACTGGCTTATTAGTGAAGTCAGTGGGCTAGGGAATAAGCAGGGAGCAAAAAGGATGCCAAAGAAATGATGAAAGATAGAAAAATAATCTTAAGGCTGGGCACTGTGGCTCACGCCTGTAATTCCAGCACTGTAGGAAGCCGAGATGGGTGGATCACAAAGTCAAGAGATCAAGACCATCCTGGCTAACATGGTGAAGCCCCGCCTCTACTGATAATACAAAAAATTAGCTGGGCATGATGGCACGGGCCTGTAGTCCCAGCTACTTGGGAGGCTGAGGGAGGAAAATTGCTTGGACTCAGGAGGCAGAGGTTACAGTGAGCCAAGATCAGGCCATTGCACTCCAGCCTGGCAACAGAGAGAGATTCCGTCTCAAAAAAAAAAAGGAAAATAATCTTAAATGTCTCTGCTCTGAATCCTTCATTTTATAAATGAGGAAATAGCAAAGTAACTTGCCTCTAGTTCTATTTCCATTACTGTTTTCTTATGTAGCTAGACAAAGTTATAGACGATATTTAAGCCCGTAAGAGTCACTCATGTGGGCCGGGCGCGGTGGCTCATGCCTGTAATCCCAGCACTTTGGGAGGCCGAGGCGGGTGGACCACGAGGTCAAGAGATCGAGACCATCCTGGTCAACATGGTGAAACCCCGTCTCTACTAAAAATGCAAAAAATCAGCTGGGCATGGTGGCGCGTGCCTGTAATCCCAGCTACTCGGGAGGCTGAGGCAGGAGAATTGCCTGAACCCAGGAGGCGGAGGTTGCGGTGAGCCGAGATCCCGCCATTGCATTCCAGCCTGGGTAACAAGAGCGAAACTCCGTCTCAAAAAAAAAAAAAAAGAGTCACTCATGTGGATGGAAAAACTGTAAACTCTTTTTTTGTTTTTTTCTTTTTGAGACAGGGTCTTGCTTTGTTGCCCAGGCGAGTGCAGTGGCACGAACACAGCTCAATGGAGCCTCAACCTCCTGGACTCAAGAGATTCTCCTGCCTTAGCCTCCTGAGTAGCTGGGACTACAGACGCATGCTACCACACCCAGCTAATTTTTGTATTTTCTTGTAGAGACTAGGTCTCGCTATGTTGCCCAAGCTGGACTTGAACTCCTGAGCTCAAATGACCCTCCTGCCTTACCCTCTCAAAGTGGTGGAACTACAGGTATGAGCCACCATGCCCATCCAAAAATATAAATTCTTCACCTAAAATTAAAGGTTTTTTAAAGTTTTAAATTAATATCATTAAAGTTATAAAGTTAGTCAACTAAAAATTCCCTCTAAACACAACCTGGTAGTATGGTACAGAAAAATAAAAGAATTGGGATACCTGGTAGAAATTCTAGTCCTGGTGTCACTAACCAGTTATGTGGCTCTAGGTTAAGTCCCTCTTTGGGTCTCCCCTATCAAATGAGAGTTGGAATCTAAAATCCCTTTCAATATTAAAATTCCATTATTTCTTTATACGACAAATAAACGCATTTATCAAAAAGAAAAATGTTACCTTCTTCTAATAAATTAAAAATTTACATTTAAGCCTCAGATTTTAATGTGTATAGTGAAATCTAATTCCTTGTTTTCTCCCTAAAGATGACTTTTGCTTGTTTCGGCTACTTAGTTTCTGCAGCCTGCCCATTGTTCTTCCCAAACACCAAAACCCTATAAGCAATATTGCACTACTCAGAACTATTTACACAGCAGAGACAATATTGATAGGGTTCTAGGATCTGGTGATAAACAGATTTATTTTTTTAGTTAGATGACAGGAAATTTACTAAGCAATTATGATGATCTAAAACTCATTAGGGTCTGATTAATCATGTAAATTGATACTGATAAACATCATTCACTGCCCTTTCAGTTATAAATCAAGCCTCCTGGAAGCCTTGTAAATCAGTGAGGTTATTGTTTAACTTTTTAGGGGCACTGGAATATTTAAAATAAAACTAGTGATTTTTTTTTTTTTTATTTTTTGAGAC